ATTACCTCGCCCCTCTGTTCTGTCTGGACATACCTTAACGGAGACCACGCCTACATTCAAATCAATAGCCAACAACGCGTCAGAGAACAATCAAAGCACCTATCACATAGTTCTCATTTCATAGTACTGCCCATCATGCTGCCCATATTAAGCCAAATGACCCTCCTACAACGTCAAAATACAATAGCCTACAATAAAATAAATATGCCAGTTTCTCTAGTGTCATTTAATGGCCAATTTGAGTATCCAGTGCATTTATTTATTTATAATAATAATCTACCTCAGGACACACTAAAAATATGACTCACATCAAAATATCCACACAAAGCTAAATGTTTTATACAGTTTATTCAAATCATTAGCAGAAATGTTCGATTTACTACTGCTAAACACAAACTAGCTTATCTTCAAACTATTACTATGCAGGTTGCTCTCTCAGTTAGTCTACTCTCACTTTGTATTGTCATTTAATTGTCAATTTGAGTATCCAGTGGAGTCTGTCTGTCTATTTATTCCCCAGGACACACTTAAAATGTGACATTCATCAAAATATCCACACAAAGCTACATGTTTAATACAATTCATCCAAATCATTAGCGGATGTATTTGATTTACCACTGCAAAACACAAACAAGCTTATCTTCTAAACTATTAGAGAGATTCAAGATACTGACAGCAGGCTCGAAATGCTAAAATCACCACTTAAACAATTTATCTCAAATAATACACAGGGTTCACTTTTCCATTGTTTGTCTATCTTGTTAACATGGACCCGTTCCCTGTTTCTCCAGCTCCAGCTATGGCTTCTCAAGCTGAATGTCTTCTCCACAGGTGGCCACATCCTGATAGGGGCCTTGCTGATTGGAGCGTTGAATTTGATGGTAAGCTGAGTTGCAGTCATCCAGGTTTAGACCCTGTTGAAGGATTTGTGAAGGTCACTTTTGTGAATACGCAGCATGTTGATAAGAAAAAGAAAATGTAGTGGGAATAGACATACCTCATAGATATTCTCTTCCTCCTGTCCTTTCTTCCTCTCCAGTTCATTCAGCCTCTTTGACTGGAGGAATAAAGTTGAACATCATCATCATCATGGAATCACTTTATTTATTTGTTTGTTTAATGTTGTGTGTGGTGCAGTTTTCTTTTTTATATGCTGTATGGAATACATCCAATATGTTGAATCAACATTAAATCAGCATTACACAATCAGTGTGTCTGACCTTACAGAGGAGCATGGTGCCAGGGATCAATACACACATCAGCAGCAACACTCCTTCTGCTGTAATAATGCTGTTCTTCACACTCTCGCTGAGGTTTAAGGTTTTCTGCAAAGGTTCTAATTAAAGAGAATGTCTTAACTCCTGAAGACTTTTCAGAAAAGACAAGTATAGATCAAACTGACCATGGACCATTGTCTTAAGAAAAATCAGAGAAAAATGAAACAAACAGACAAAAATAGATGACAAAAGAGCTGACACTTTCACTTCCTCTGACAATAAAACGTGCATGTGTGTATACAAGGAGAGTTAAGTAACACAAACTTAGCATGAATGAGTGGAATTTGGTTTTATGTCACTGAATGGATTATTTGTGTTTGCCTAACTCAGCCAATTGAAAGATTTATGGGGATTATTGCACAATGCAGCCTCTTAAGAGAGCTTGAGTGCTTGCATTGTTATGTTTGTGACTTTCATATTTATGTAGTGAAGAATAAATAGTTAGACAGTGGGCCTACGTCAGATTATGTATAACATTAAAATGCATAATTATAAGTTATATAAACAGTATTTATTATAGACTGCTTTTCAAAAGCTTGAGGTCAGTAAGATTTTTTTTATTACAAAAGAAATTCTGTCAAATAAATGCGGTTCTTTTGAACTTAAATAAAAAATAAAAAATTGAACAGTAGTGTATATAGTTGTCTGAAAATGTTTCTGTGATACTGACAAGAAATAAAATGAAGTATACTTAAACATAGCTGTGGTCTGACTTACTGTATACTTGAAGGAAGGTACCATGAGTAAAGATGTGAAGAGTGTCATGATTCAGTTTACACTGGTACAAGCCAGTGTCATTGAGACGGACACTCTTGAAAAACAGCAAATGGCATTTGACTCCATCTTTTTCTTCTATTACGTCTTTGGACTGATTTACTATACTGGGCATTGTGGTACCATTGGTGTTTTGAATATTTATGATCCAGGTGACATGGGGTTTCTTGTTCCAGTGGTAGCAGCAACGGATGGTGGCTTCATGGGAGAGAGCCACACGCTCAAGCGGCTTATCCGCCTCCAGTTTCAGCTCTTTTAAATCAGCGTTGGCAACAGCTTATGCAAAGGACAATAAACCAAAAAGCCACATAATAATATGCTATAATTTTGGATGGCAGAACAGCAGAACAAAGTATTCGTGTGCAAAACAATCCATGACCATAGTCTGGGGTTTCTTTAAGATTTGCTTATATGTGATTAAAACCTCTTATAGCAAAGCAGCTTAATATATGGCTTTAATTTCCCCCCAACAGGCAATAACTTCAGTCCACATGATATCAGCATGTTTAAATCTATTAGCTAAACCATACACTTCCCACCCACAAAATGCTATATACACAAGTCTTGTCATGTGAAAAGCTACTCAATACAGTGTAAAATTAAATTAGACCCTTAAAATTGAAAGTCACACTGAAAAAGACAAAGGTGTAAAAACTGGTGAAAAATCTAGACACTGGTAGCAATAAGATGCAAATTGAAACAGCTGCTCTGAGAGGAAATCAGCTTCACTGAAGCAGAACACAGACGTGCAGATGGAAACTTTGTGTACTTCGTTCTTTTGTAGGCGATAAAAAGTTTATTACTGAATTTGAAATGGTATGCTTTCCAAAAACTACATTTAAATTTCTCTCTCTCTATTTTTTTGTGCTCAGAGAGCTCAGATTATTTTAAAACCAGTTAATAATAATGAAAGTTTAACAAATATTAACATTTTACATTAAAACCAACATCACATACACACATTAAATATATGCTATTCCTTACCTGCCCAGAAGCACAAGAAAATGACCAGTTTGAACGGCATTTTCTCTAATAAACCCGATAAACTCTCCTGATAAAAAAGTTCTTGCTGCTCATCAGTAAATGTGCCTTTCAAGTGTTTGTCTTCCTGTATCATCTAAACCCACCCATTCTTCAGTTTGTGGTGAACACACGCAAATACAGGGGCTGGACAAAATAATGTGAACTCCTGGAAAATATGCAATATTTCATTATTAATATGTTTAACCAGCATTCGCCTTTAAAACAGCTTCTAACGTCTTAGAAAAGATTCATACAACTTTTGAATAGTCTCTAGTAATCTGCCAGTTGCTTTAGAGATGTTGGAGAAGGGAATCTGCTTCTCACCCCTCTCCAAAACTGCCTACAGTGGTTTGATAATATTCATGTCAGGTGATTTGTTTGGCCAGGGCAGAAGTGAATCTTGGTGCATTCCAGCTGTCCAGGATCATATAGACATAATAACTGGATAAAGATAATTGGATTTTTGTTTTTCACTGTAACATATACAAATGATATGAACCCCATTAAAACATTATTTGTCCAATCTCTGTACATTCTTCTCTATTTTGGATTATGGGGTAAACCATTAATATCAACTGAATGCTGCTGAAAATAAGGACAATAAAAGCTCAAATCATTTTTGATCGTTTATAAAAAAAAAAATAAAAAAAAAAAGTACCTACATTTTTATGTATCTTACATATAAAATCAAAGCCCAAATACACAGAATAGTCCTTGCAAGTGATTTTTGGATTTTTGTTTTTCACTGTAACATATACACAGAAAATGTTACTCCTGTACACAGAATTACATAAAAGACAGTCATGCATTGCAGAGGCTTTAAAAGATCTAACAAAGAGCACTCAGTACTAAGCACTCAGCCATTTTTAAGAACAAATGAGTGGAACTGCTATAATTTGGCGGGTCTGGAGCAAAATATCAGATTTATATTTAACACTGAACATCGCTAATGAGGAGAGGGCAAGGACACCCGTGCCTGTCAGCTGGACTTAAAGAGCCCTTCAGAAATAAAAACAAACCCAATCTGCACAAGGCACCCTATAAATAGATTTAAACATACAGATATATCACTATGTATGTGTATATGTGACAGATACACATGAAAATTAAGGAATGAGAGAGAATGACACCACACCCAAAACCCCGTCTTATCAATTATCAAGGGTTCAAGTCTTAACTTGAAACTTTCTAATCGAATTTAAATTGTGGTCAGTTCCACATCAAAAATAAGACTCTTGCCATAAAAGTGAAATTCAGTGAAGCCTTTTTTTATAGTTAAGGGTGCACTTTGACTCTCTCAGTCCTTTTATAATAGGCAATGCATAGTACGGTAATTACATAATTTTCAAAGAAAACCAAAACAACAGAATCAAAGGAAATTAATAAACCACCCATTCAAGCAATCGCGAATAAAAAAAATTGTGCAAAGGGACTGTAGGAAAGTGAAGTAGGTAGAACAGATCTTGCACCATGATAGTTTCATTACCAAACTTTAAACATTTTCGTTTGCTACTTCTAAAAGGAAAAAAATATGAAGGGATCAACACTGCTGACCAGAATGCAAGACCTCTGAAAAATTGTTCTGATAAACCATTTTGTAAAGGTAATCAGCTGGGAAAAGAGCGGGAAAAGGCCTTACTGAAATCACAAATATCAACACAATTACAATGAATATAAATCACAATATGTAACAAATAAGGTAAAATAAGTTGCATAATTTGGAAGTCGGTCAAGGGTAAAAAGACCTGTTGCAGTAGCATCATGAATACATGAAAATAATTACAGTACTGGTGAGAAAACCTACAGTTTGTGTTCCTGTCTCCAAACTCTGAGATATAACATCATCATCAACCCCTGCATGTGCCTGATTCTCTGTGGTTTGGTTTCCAAATAAGACAGGGAGAGCAGAAGAGAAAAAGCTGGTCCCTTAAGCTGGAAATCATGGACTGACAATGAGAATCAGGATACTTCTCTATTACCGATACAGCAATTCAGTTCTGTCTTAAATAGGATAAGCCAACACATTTACAAGCCAATGCATCCACTTCACCATTTTGTGGGTTGACCCAGCAGCTAAGGCGAACACTCAAGAGTTTGGAAAGGGGTGGGCGACGAGATCGGACCCCCTTACAGCTCAGTAAGTCATTCCAATTTACAGCTGACCTCCCCATGCAAGGCAAAAGTGTTTACATATCTAAACTTTGTTCCACTATAATTTCTTTGGTCCTGCTTTTAAAGAAAACGACTCCCTAAAATAAAATAAACTGAGAGACATCATTACAAGCAATTACAGAAAAAAAACTATATTTTTGCAAACTGTAGAGTAATTGTACTGGAGAACATAAAGACAGAAAAAACTGAATTATCAGAAATGACTAATACATTTACAGCCACAGACACAGAATTTGCATAGTGCACACAAATAGGCAATGTGTGATGATTATCCTAAGATCTGAGTTGACCTACCAGAATACAATCTGCAACACCTGCATTAGAGAACGCTATACATTGTGCATGCTTCCCATTATGACAGCACCGATGTGTGGATGTACCTGCAAGCTGGTCATTCAAAATGCTACATAATATGTGCATATTTCCTCACAACCACAATGTCAAACCCTGACGAAGTCTCTCGCCATCAATGCCTGCCTTGTTTTCACTTCAGAGGGGTTAGGCATAACAAAGCAAGCCCACCTTCCTCAAACCTTCTCTCTATTTCCTTTGCTCATCCATCTGCTGATCTATCCTACTTAGCACTTCTTTTCTCATTCACAGAGCAACAACAGAACTTCTGGTAAGACGACAAAACAAAAGAAAAACAGGGTTAAAAAAAAAAGCTCCATACTCTTAACTCTCCATTTTACAACAATTTGGCCAATGCATGCAACAACGGTTCTACATATATCCTTTTGAATATCTATTATTTTGGAAAATACATATAATATAGTACGGTAATAATTATTAGGATGAGTGAACATCTTGAAATGTGTATAATAAAAAGGCAAAAAATAAAAGGGCACATTATCTGTTTAAATTACCTTATTGAAAACCTACTAAACTACAGTTTGAGAAGCAGGCTTCATATGCATCAGACTGCATTCACAAAGAGGCAACTATACTTTTCTATGAATATAGATAGTCTTTTGGTACTAAATTACTTTTGACATGCTTATCTTTGCGTGTGTATCTGTGTGCGCATGTTTCTGTATGTTACATTGCTTCCACATGTACACGTAGCATTTCATTCGGATATCTCTCTAGGTGTTGCACATTTCTTTGGCATCTTTTGGCAAGACTGTCTCCCATACCTCTCAACAGAAACACATACACACTCATTCAAGGGCAAGGATCACTATCATTTCACAACACCCACTTCATTTCATTTCTCAGTGGCATGGAAAGTGCTGGGGTCCTGCTGACTATCTTCTGAAAGGACAGTCGAGAAGAGAGAAGAGATAGAGCAGGAACATTCAGGCAGAATTAATCAATCAGCGAATCCCTTGAAGTCTTGAATCCAGCACATACACATACAGTAATCTGAGGACAAAGAAGACAGATGATAGAAACGGAATTGCTATACTTAAAAAAAAAAAAAAAAAAAAAAAAAAAAAAAAAAAAAAAAAAAAAAGAGGGATTTTAAAAAAATGGTGCTATATAAAAATGAAGATGATACACATAAAAAAATATGGTTTTGTGTTTAGTATGTGGTAGTACCTTGTAACAGCAGGTTGTGAAGTTTCTCAGTTGTAATGGCCCCCCTGAAGTGAATATTTAGCAAGAGCTTCTTGCAACTTATAATGGTCCTCCTCAACAGCCTGGGAACAAACACAACATTAGAGATATGTATTAGGTAGGGCACCTCTCTCAGCTTATTCACCTCGCTCAGATGAAGTTAAATTTTTCGCTAACACTATTTTGATGGTCCCTTTTGAACATTCTGTTGACAATAAGTAATGTTGCACCTACATGTCTACTAACTCTCATCAGAGTATTAGTAGACTGTTTGCTTAATATCTGCTAACTCTTTATTGTCATGGTCTCCCAACAGACATTCTACTGACTATAAGTAACTTTGCAAGTACATGTCAACTTATTCTAACCCTAACCCTACCAGTCTATTAATACTCTACTAATACTCTAATGAGAGTTAGTAGACATGTAGGTGCAACGTTACTTATAGTCAACAGAATGTGTTAAAGGGACCATCAAAATAAAGTGAAACAAATTTTTCTCCTCTTCAAGAACTGAAGAACTGACCCTATTCTCTTTCACAAATGTATTTGTGTTCTCCTTGCCTGCAATCTCTTCAGTTGCTCCCCAAGAGTCTGCAGTCTCCTCTGCACCTCCTCCATGCGTTCCTCAGAAAGCACTAGAGGAGCACTTATCCCTCTTTCCTCTTCTCCTTTATTCCCTCCATCTCCCCCACTCTCTTCTTCAGTTCTTCCTTCTGTGCTGGATTCCTCCACTGAGAAGGAAAAAAAGGCATTGCGGATTTCAATATTAATCAATAATTTATGACCGTTTTTCACATTTCTGAATGGTTTGGTGAGGAGGGAGCACAGCTGTACTTTATGATTAAATGTGAGGTTGAACCTCTTCAGCTTAAAACCTGAAGCAATATTGTGTGCATTACCTGACGACTGACCTCCATCTGCCTCCTGGCTTTCAGGTGCATTTTCCCCAAGAGTCTGAGAGTCATCTGACAGGCTAATACTGCCGACCAATAGCCTCTTCAAATACATGACTGCGAGAGGTATACAAGCAAAATAAGATTAAGTACAGCATGAAATTATAAGTCTTCACTGTCAGACCTGCATAAAATGACACATATTATGACCTTCATCCAAAGCACCAATAGCAGACTTCTCTGGAGGGGCGTGGCTATGGCTGAGCAGGTCAAAGCCATTGGTTGCTAGGTAGTCTATGAGTGAAGAATCAGTTTCTCTACTCTTCTCATCAGTAAGACTGTCTTTAAATCGCCCTATGGTGAAATAAAGTAACACACAGTCATATTAAAATACCATGGTAAAATTACTTGGATAGATTTAAAGGGATAGTTCACCCAAAAATGAAAATTACCCCATGATTTACTCACCCTCAAGCCATCCTAGGTGTATATGACATTCTTCTTTCAGACGAATACAATTGGAGTTATATTAAATAATGTCCAGGATAATCCATGCTTTATAATGGGAGTGGATGGTAGCCCAAAATTTGAAGTCCAATAAATTGCACCCATCCATTATAAAAGAAGTCCATATGGCTCCGGGGGGTTAATAAAGGCCTTCTGAAGCGACGCGATGCGTTTGTGTAAGAAAAATATCCATATTTACAACTTTATAAATCTTAATATCTAGCTTCTGCTAACTATCGTACGCACGTTCACGAGAGAGTGGCGTCCAGCGGATGACGTAGGACGTAGGCAAACGCGGTGACGAACACGGAAGTGATGAACGTGGAGGCGCAGAGGAGAGAGCAAAACAAAACACCAGTCACGAATTAGTAGTATAAAACGAGGATTTGTAAAGAAAAATGTCAGATGATTCCAATATAAGCCAAGAGGACACTGGTTATTCTTTGCTGTAAACAAAACTTGTTTCTCGCGAGACTAGCATATTTTCACCGGAGCTTATGCTACGTCTACGTCCTACGTCATCCGCTGGACGCCACTCTCTCGTGAACGTGCGTAAGACAGTTAGCGGAAGCTAGAGATTAAGATTTATAAAGTTGTAAATATGGATATTTTTCTTACACAAACGCATCGCGTCGCTTCAGAAGGCCTTTATTAACCCCCCGGAGTCGTGTGGACTTCTTTTATAATGGATGGGTGCAATTTTTTGGACTTCAAATTTTGGGCTACCATCCACTCCCATTATAAAGCATGGATTAGCCTGGACATTATTTAATATAACTCTGATTGTATTCTTCTGAAAGAAGAATATCATATACACCTAGGATGGCTTGAGGGTGAGTAAAGCATGGGGTAATTTTCATTTTTGGGTGAACTATCCCTTTAATATCTATTTCCAAGAGCCAAAAGTCTCACCACTGCGACTTTTCAACAGGTCTCCTCCATTTTCAGTGGGGCTAAGAGGGGGATGCAAACTGGAGAAAAGAAATGGAAATAATTTTAAAGATTGAAGTCAGCTTTGAGCTTGCTAGCTCGACAGCACCTTCAAAAGAACGCCCAATTACTCTTATGGGGATATCTGCCAAAAACACACTCACGGGCTGTATACAGGTCCAATGAAGCTGCTAGGTATGCTGTTGCCTCTTTCTCTGTTTAGCTTATTCCCGTCCCTCTTCTTCAACTCGTCGACCGTAGTCTTAATCACCTCTGTCCAACTGGAACAAAACAGACTGCGAGTGTCATATCAAATGACATGTTTTGGATTTCAATTTTTGAAGTGGGATCTCATATCATCTGCCTGCCAGTCATTCGTGTAAGTGTTAAATATAAATGGCTTTATATGGTTCACACTTACTTTTTCCTCTCCCCGATGGACTGAGCCACTAGTTCATAGATCTGTGCTCCGCTGTCCCAAGTGAAGATAACATAGAGGGCCTTCGGGTCTGATGGAAAAAACAGAAGTAACTGTATATCAAATTCACGATATTCAGAATAAAACATGCTAATTCTCACTCACTCACCAGTGGCCACATCTCTGAGGAAAACAGATTCTAGTTTGATGATTGGACTCAGCATCTGTTTGCCTTCCTGAATGGCTATGTTGCTTTTGCTCTGACACTTCAAAACCATCTTATCATCCTGCTTCTGAAGCAAGACCAGCATGTCTGACAGCAAAACACAGTGCACATCTGCAAACACACACAAAAATAGGTTGAGTAAGAGGCTGCATTCTTGATTATGGAAGCAATAAAAAGGCAAAAAAAAAGTGTCAATTTGCAAGAAAATTTTCATTTGGGGGAGTGTGTCGACGGGGCTTACCGATCGCTTTCTCCTTGGTCACCCTCCATGTCAGAGGTCCTTCAAACAGCATTATTCTGGTGGTCAGATCAATGTTCTGATGAACAGAGAGAAGAGCGGATCATATCAGCGCCAGAGTGTCTGCATTAGTAACATTAGTACCTCACACATGAGACTAGTGCTGGGCGGTATGACCAAAAATTTATATCACGGTATTTTTCAAAATTATACCGGTTTCACGGTACATGAAGGTATTTTTTTTTCATGCATGACCGGGTATTAACCATATTGTATAACCATATACTGATTGAGAGAGGAAATACTGCAGTATATTGACTTAGAATGCCCTATTTTACTGTCATGATGAGTGAATAGTCAAAAAATACCACACTAAATAGTGACTAAACACGACCCCTTTTAATACATGTTAACCAGGAGTCACTCTCATTTATAATCGCGGCATCGTCTGATAAATTTAAGCGACATACACCGGTATTGCGGTATTTTAAAAATTCATATCATAACAAAAATAAACACCGGTATTCGGTATGAACCTGTATACCGCCCAGCACTACATAAGACTTCAAGATATTTCTCACCTTGTACTCACTGTAGAGGTCATTGCTCGGTTTCAGTCCTGAGGTGTCCAGCCGGCGCTGATAGTCTTTCAAAATCTGAGTTGAAGATGGGCAGAAGATGTTGAAGTTGAAGATGGTTGTTGGGAAAATGCATATTAGAAATTATGAATGAAGTTTAAGCAATCCATATAGGGTGGGTGGTATGACCAAATATGACCAAAATCTTATATCACAGTATGAAAAAGTTTGTACAGTATCAAACTAAATACATACATCACAACATGCTGGAATGTAGTAATGCCTGTATGCTGCCAGACCACACATCCTTACAGTAAACCCTGTTTATATGAAGGAACTTCTAATGAATTCTCACCAGCAGGTTCTCCATGAGTTTAACTTCTTCATTGACATGGTTGAGGATCTTGCGGCAGGATTCTGCTGCTTGGTTAATGTTCTCTTTTTCTGCTTCATCATCTGTGAGAAATGGACATTGGTTATACACCAGTTTTTTGACTAATACATTGCAGTTCTTAATGTTTACTTATTCCTGTGATGGCAAGGCAGATACATTTTTTTAGGATTCCTTGCTAAATAGAGAGTTCAAAATAACAGCAAATCTTTTGTAACAATATTAAGGTCTTTAAAGGTCTTCAATTCTGATCAATTTAATCATGCTACATTATTATCACTATCATTGCGAAATAAAAGTATTTACCCACTATTTTTACTATTTTTGACTTACTGACCCCAAATTTTTGAACTCAAGTGTATTTTATTTAATTAAGAAAATCGATGTGTTAAACTGATATTTTTTTTTATTTGTAGTATTTTTATTTAATCTGTTATTTACTTCGGTTTTACGTCAATTTGCAATTGTTTAGCAATTGTTTTGCACTGTTTGCACAAATGGTTTTATAGAAATAAAGTATTATTAAGATTTGAAAACCTGTGTTCTTGGCAATGTTTTCCAGCAGAAGAGGGTACTTGGTTAGTCTTTGCATCTCTATGGGAATGATATCCTTCAGCTGTAGCCTCCGACACTGTGGCTTACTCTCTGCCTCCTACAACACAAACACAGAGCATTTACTTAAAGACATTTTGAAATGCCAAGCCTCCATAACCTATCATAATACATTTATGTGACTGCCGAACAGTTGCAATAACATGGAAAAGAGTGTTTTAAGAGTAAAGGTACCAGTATAAAAGCATTAAAACGGGGATCCTTCTTCTGTCTGCTCTTTATCTGCTCCAGAGCCCAGGACTGGTAGCTACAGAAGCGTGCTGTGAGCTTCTGAAACCACTCTCCCTCTGATCCACTGAACTACAGAAATAAAGACATGTCTATTTGTGTAACAGCTGATATAAGTTCATGTTGTCAAGATGAATGCTGAATGACACAGTGTTGAGAAAGAACATGAAAAACTAGCCTTTAGCACACTCTTTAAGCTACCTACCCTGTTGAGAAGTGGCATGCTTATGATTTTGACAATGTACTCATCCTCCTGCCGCTGTTTTTTCAGGTTCTCATAGAAAGCATCTAAAAAAAATAATGGATTTAAGCTATATCAAGGCTGTTCATGACTATTTAACTTAGCTATTTTTGTATACATAATTTGAAGGGCCATCAAAATCTATTAAAACCATGCAGATTTCAGTGTAGTAATATATTTGAAGTGGATACATACAATGCATCTCTATGATCTCATCGAGGCTGGGGAAGATGGTGGCCAGCTCAGTCACGGTAATAATCTCTTCCCTCTCCAGCGGACGAGAAAACACAGTCTGCAATACACTCAGCATACGGACATGAGCATGCTCTGTCGTAAACAGCTCTGAGAGACACACAGAGAAAAATGTGTTCATCATTGCACCCTGCTACATAGCAGATTCAACAAAATAAGGCACTTGAACCTGTGGATATTTTTTCAACATTCTTGATTGTATTACCATTGATGACTTCTTGTCTTTTGATTTCCTTCTTGCTCAGTTTTCTCAAGTCCTCAGGAGAAGCAAGGGCCCTCCAATTGGGCGGGTCCTGCTCGAGCTCCAGGAGACGGGGCTCCATCTCTTCCTGCTGAGGGAAGGGGCCAAAAACAGGACCAGTGACGAGGCCATCAGGCAACAACCCACCTTCCACACTAAGAGACAAATGAAGGGAAAAAATTGAAAAGGGATACATACGTGTTAAGCAGTGTAAAAATAGTTAAAGGTAGTGATGATTAAATTTTCTGAATTCTATCAGTTACTGAGAAGCTCTTTGTGCTGCTGTCTCCTGTGGACGGTGTGTGTATGAGAGTTTCTAAGTGTGTGTGATGGTTAGTCTTTGCCTTACGAGACTGAATGCTGTGGGGAGGGTGAGAGGGGGTGGGAGGTGGAAGTTGACTGCAGGTCCACGTCGCTACGGGAGCGAGACTGCTTGGCCCGGGTAGAGCCACTACGGCGAGAGTGACGGCGCTCCACGCAAAGGCTCTCGCTGCGGCGCACATTCCTGAACACCCAAGAGAAGTGGGTGGGGGGGTTGAGGTAAGGGAAAAGGTACAGAAAAAAGAAGAACCAGAAACGGAAAGAGAATGGAAGAAAAGTGGATGGAAAGAGAATGGAAAGGGAAGGAAAAAGGAAACAAAAGAACAGGAAAATAAAGAGGAAGAGATAGGAAAAAGAGTAAGCAAAGACCAGGGAATGAAAAGGGGAGGATGGAAGATGGGAAAAGGGGAAAGAAAAAGGAAGAGGAAGCAATGGAAAGAAAGGAATGGGGGAAAGTAAATGAATTAGGAAAGAATAAAAGAATTACAAAAGAATAAGGAAATTAGGAAATAAGACCTAAACACCCAAGAGAGGGGGGGGGGTTGAGGAAAGGGAAAAGATAGAGGAAAAAGAAGAATAAGAAAAGGAATGAGAATGGATGTAGGAGGAAAGGAATAGAAAGGGAAGGAAAAAAGAAACAAAAGAACAGGAAAAGGAAGAAGAAGAGATAGAAAAGGAGAGGAAGGAAAGACCAGGGAATGAAAAGGGGAGAAGAGAAGATGAGAAAGGGGGAAAGAAAAAGGAATAAGAAGCAACGGAAAGAAAAGGAAGGAAAGGGGGAGAGGAAATTAATGGGGAAATAGGAAGAATAAGGTAGGTAAATAGTAGGAAGAGGACAGAAAGAAAGGAAAAAGCAAACAAAAAAAGGAAAAAGGAAGTGGAAGGAAAGGAAAGGAAAGAGGGAATAAAATAAAAGAAATGAAAAAAAGGAAAGAACATGAATAAAAAGGAAAGGAAAGGGGAAAAAGAAAAGGAAGGAAAGGAAAAAGGAAACAAAAAAGAAAGAAGAAAGAGGAAGGAAGGAAAGAAGTAGAAAAAGTAAACAGAAGAAAAGGCAATTATAGGAAGAGGAATAAGAAAAGGAAGCAAATGAAAAATTAAATGGGGAAATAAAGAATGAAAAAAGAAGGGAAGGGAAGGGAAAGGAAAGGAAAGGAAAGGAAAGGAAAGGAAAGGAAAGGGGTAATGAAGTAGGAAGGGACATTGGATGATAGTGAGGTTAAAGACCACAGACCAAAGGTAACGTGAACAGATGAAAGAAACAGAAAATTGAACAGTGATGAAGAAGAAACAGTAAGTGAAATGTGAAGACAAATCATGTCTAAACCAATAGATATCCTGTTATTAGCACTAGTTCACCAAGGAAGATTCATTCAGCCCCATCAGTTCAAAGACCCTTCTGGGATCCACATTAACAAACATCTCCAGCTCTTTCTAATGTGTCATTTACAGCATATCAGTGCATTTGAACACCTCAATTATACTAGTATAAAACACCATCAGCTAATAAGTGGGCTCCATTCGTGCAAAGCGTCCCAAAAAGCAGATACTTCTGCCCTCAATCCCTAAAGCCCAAAAACCTGAGAAGAACCATACTTAGCCATGCAGTGAGTATGAGTGTCTGTGTGAGTCTAAATATGAATCTAAAGCTTAAAACCATGCCATTCATTGTACAATGTTTTCTGAATAATAAAATGTAATATAATGTGTTTTTAATAAGAGAACATGTGTGCATCAGTAGCAGTTGAGGCTGGCAGAAAATCCCAGAGACAACCACGCAGACCCACCTTGTCTTCTTTCTGTAAAAACATAGGGCGAACGAACAGTTACAGAATAACCGAGAACAAATCGTCTATTAACAAACACCCAACCAAAACTTCCAACTATTACCTCAACGCTTCCCTGAACACAATCTCAAGGCCAGCAACAAAGCGAGACAGAGCGTACAACAATGGACAACAGCAACGAACAATTCTCCCACATGAAGGACAGTTCCGCGAGCAAATGCACAGCTAATCCAGTTACAGACGTTTTATGTCATATACTGTAAACAGTAAGGTAAAGAAGCTACATTAAGTTTCTAAGTCAAGTTTATGTTTGAAATCCAGAATGTTGCTGTTTCAAATCCCACAAGTAAATATCACCATTGTACCAAACTGCAGAACATCAGGTTGCTCCATCAAAATATATGTGCACTGTAAGTCACTTTGGATGACAGCATCTACTAAATATATTCCTACTAATTGAAGAAGCAAAAACACAACCTTTCAAATAGTTGGGCAGTCATAATATTTGCTCAAATTCAGACAGAATCTGCCTATTTTGATGACGTCATGCCTTGGCGCAACATTGCAGAACATAGCGCTGACTGGATGCGAAGAAAGACTGTGGCACGGGTAAACTGTAAACTGAAAGCTAACAAAAATGACTGACATTGCAAAACATCAGGTGGGACAAGGAACAAACAGACATAGAGGTAAAAAAACAAAAGGAGGTAGCAAAATGCAGAGAAAAAAATTAAAGTGGGAAGAAAGGGAGTTAGGATAGGAGGGGAAAGGGAGGGAGGCATGTATGCGCAGTAAGGGACTGTCTTGGTCTTTGTTGTCCTTAAGGAGGGTAGCGTATATTGCGGGCAGCAGCAGGAGCAGCAGCACAGGAGGGACACAGCACACTGCTTCCAGGCAAAGCAGGCAGGGAGTTTTTACACCCTTCCTTAGTTATGTCATAGAAAATAAGACTAACTACTTCTGTTGTAATTTAAAAAGTATGCTAGCTGTCTGTTTAATGTTTTCTTTTTTTGTGTTGTTTTTTTTTATCTGCTTCTCATTCCTGTTCCTGCTTTCTTACTTGCCACTGTCCTGACTGTCATCTGGAAGGATATCAATGCCCCCACCAGTGCTGACAGGAGATGCATCTCCCCCCACTGAAACTGGTCTGGGGTCTGAAAGATTGTTGTTAACACCTACAGGAGGAAAGAGACAACATTTCTGCATATTAAACACTAGGGTGACATTCAATAATATCAAAGCCCACTTATAGCATTATATATTTGTATGTGTTGTTTCACACTGCATCTAGGTATCACAATATATTGGTACCAGTTATCAGTTGATATTATTGATCATATAATAAAGATATAATAAAGATTATTGCCATCAGCTAATATTAGAAATGTAATTGAACCAGAGTCATAATTGTTAACTGAAACTAAAACTATTAAAATAATTTTCATTAGTTTAAATAAAGTAAAAAAACAAAAAAAACAAATATTACATGAAAACCTGGGCAATGAAAAGTAGAAATGTTGCCTTGGCAGCTAACTGAAATAAGTTTTACGGTGAAGCACTGAAATTGCTAACTAAATTAAAACTAAAACTGAAAAAAAAAGAGAATATAAATATTACTAAAATAACACTGAATTGCACACAGTAATTTTTACATTTAGGTTACCTGCTATCTAACGCTCACAAAATGTTAAATCATTAAAAACATTAACTATGTAATAATACAGATAAATTGTAATCTTTAGCAAATCTCAAAATGAATTTTGTTCATACTGTACCTTATAATTATTTTTTTTTGCATGTAAATTTTAGTTAGTGTTTTATTTTATTTATTTTTTTTGACAAAATAGTACAGAATTTGGATGTCAGCCGTTTATTGGTTACTGGCCATTGGCCATACCATGAAAATAATTATTGGTTTGCCTGTATCGGCCACAATTTTAATATTGGTGTACCCGATTAAGTATGGTGGCAGTGCAGCTTTGTATAAATTACTTTCATTCCCTTTTATATTTCCAGAAGACTCACATATACCATGTTAGTCAATTTCCCACATGTCCAATGTGCTTAAATCTAAAACACATAAGCGGCATTTTCCGACCCTCACCCGTGTCACTCTGAGAGTCGGGACTAGGAGTCACACTGACGCTGATGGTCTTCTCTTCACTGCTCTCCGAGCCATGTGTGCTACCTGACCCTGCCACACCAGGTTTCCGCACTGGAGTGGTGCCACTATCACTTATGGACACTCGATGAGGTGGGACGCTTGGTTTGGTTTGCTTTACTAGACAGAGAAAAAGTAAGAGAGAAAAGAGAGAGATGAGAGGAAGGATCAAAAGCAACATAAAAACTGACAGATGATTGTGTGATCATTGTGTGGTTTCTAACAAGAAGATGTGACAGATGGACAACTAGATGAGAGAGGAAATCAGGAGTTTGATCCAACAGTGTTAGTCATTCATTGAAAGGGTGTTTCAAAGGTCCAACAAGCCCATGAATCTTAAGTAAATCAATCACAAACAAACACCACACACAAAAACAGCGCAAAGTATAATCTGAAATCTGTTTGTGAATACATCACCTGTGGTATATTGAAACATTAAGATCATGAAAAGATTTGTAAGCAAGCATTAAAAAAAATACTTTTTGAAAACATTAACCACAACCAAAGCCACCTCAACCAGAAAATCAAATCAGATTGGCTAAATAGATGGATAAGGAAACGAAAACAACAGACAAACCCATGTGTTTGAAGCGGAACATGCAAACATGCATTAGATTTGATTAGCAAGGGAATGTACCATCCAAGAGGTGAGGATCTACACAAAGAACAGACCATAATACCTTCAAAGTCCAATCTAGTTTGCTTACCATCATCTGCAAGAGGAAAACATAGCAACACAAACAAGTTCCTTTAAATTCTACATCAATCTTTGATCTTGCAGGCATTTCAATAAATATATGATGAATGTTTCTCATACTATAAGCTACAGAAGCGCCTTCTGGTTTCTGTGTACATTGGTCTCAATGATCTTAACAGGTGTCTGAGATGTTATGGGTAATTAGTGTAAATGGTTGAATGCAAATCGATGTGCACAGTGAAATAATGCAGGTTTGGTCAATGAGCGTATGATGTAAGTAGGGTGTGTATTCTGAGGGAGAGCGATGAAGAGATTGTACTGAGTACGTACGGGTGAATGCAGACGGTTTGACTATTTTGTTTGGTTTGTTGGTTCCCCATGGCTGTTCAACAGAAAAAGAAACAATACTATTAGACAAGATAACACAAATTCAGATCATTAAGTGAAAATCAGAGGAATTAAGTTGTATACTGAACTATGGAGCATATCATCTAACCTTCAGCACAGAAGGGACAGAGGGCCGCCATCCTGACTTAGTCTTCTTGTTGTCAAGTGCTCTGGTCTTGACGCCAAGGTGCTTCATATAAATGGCAACTGCTCCAAATATGCAGTTACTAAAGGAATAAAAGAACAGAAATGGTTACACCGAATATTGAAATTTGGGGGGTGGGGGAAAGCTGCTTTATAGCTTAATCCGTTACTTCAACAGTGTAATTCTGGGGGGAAAAAGATCATGTTATTTAGGGTTTTTGTCACCCTTTGTGTGACACTTGATGGGTTTAAGGGTGGTTCACAAAATGTTGGTATTCTAAATAAACTCAGACCATCAGCACTTACAATTCACCTAATTTGCATTACATTGCATATACAATTAAATTACTGCTTAAAAGTTTGGGGTCAGTAAGATTTTTGAAAGATGTCTTTCATCTTCAAAAATAAAGCAAAAATTATTCAAATTTAAAATAACTGTTTTCTATTTTAACATATTTTTCATATATTTAATATCATATATTTAAAGTGTAATTTATCCGTGTGATGAAGTCTTCAGTGTCACACGATCCTTCAGAAATCATTCTTAATATGCTGATTTAGCGCTCAAGAAACTTTCTGAGAATAATTTCTCATTATTATCAATGTTGAAAACAGTTGTGCTGGCTTAATATTTTTGTATATTTTATTTTTTTCACAATTCTCTGATGAATAGATTTTTTTTTACATTACAAAGTGTCTTTACTATCACATTTGATCAAATTAATGCATCTTTACTGAAAAAAGTATTTATTTCTTAAAAAAAAAAAAAATGTACTGACCCCAAACTTTTGAATGGTATTGTATATTTTTAGCCCTCCGAGTTCACTATACAAAAAAATAATGAATGTCACACAGTTGCAGTGAGACACGGTGTGTGTACAGAGGTATTTTCCTCCTGCATGTACTGAAAAAGTGCAACTGAAGTCATGTGATCTGCGACTAGTCAGTGCAATCCCCTAGCGTACTATCAAATTGTCCATGTACCTCATAGGGAATCTTAATATTGGCATCAAGCCATTTCCTTCACTTTAAAAGAGTAGCAGAATCTCCAGTAAAGGAGGAGAAAGAGAAGAGGGAGAGGGAGGATGACTGGAAAGGGGAGGGACAGAAGTCTGGAGGAGGAGACTGTGCACATGTGCATGTCCATTGTCTCATGCACACATGGATTAAGTGATGCAGCTGTGCATGACAAAATGAACAAATGCAACAGCTGCAAGCATCCACTAACAGCCTTTCTCACAAACACATTGTGCACCATCTAACTTCAGCCTGGAGTTCTTTTCATAATACATGCTTATATTGCATTTCTTAGCAAGACCAACCAAACAATATAAACTGGAATGACTGATAACTTCATGAAAACAACATTTTCATTTGAAAAGATGTTTACAACTACAGAAAAGTAAATAAATACAACTACATTAAAGTGACTGTTTAATGACTTTAATGACATATATAGAAACCAAACAACAAGTTATAAAGACACAAAACAACACACCAATCTATAATGTAACAATGATCACATAGAAAAAGACATGCAACTGACTTTTGCATTCTGCTGCAGCATCTGCACTTAAAAAAAAAGACAAAAAGATAAAGAAAAAAGACAACCCACCTTTTGTCCTTGTCGGCAACAATTGAGGGGCTGCAAAAAGCAAAACAGAAATAATTAGAGGGATTATCAAAGGAAAAATGCAGAATAATGCTGGTCTTAAGGACTCACCGCTTAAAGTTAAGTAACATTTTTTCTCCCTCGTTCTCTACCGGTTTTTAACTCTGTTTTAGGACGGTGAAATCTGAAGTGTTCAAGCTTTTCCTGACTCAAAATGACAGTAACTGTTGTATTGTTTGTAGAATTCAAACTAATGAACATATTCTGTCACTTGCAAATGAAATAAAAAATTAAAACATTAAAATAAAAGATCTACAAAAAAATGGTAGTGCATCAAAAATTGCACTCCAGGCAAATTTTGAAAAACAAAATGCAATGAAACAGTCTCTTGCAAACCTAGATGTCTGATCTACTGTACACTATCTTTCGCAAACTGGAAAAAACTATGACGACACTCTGCTAAGGCACTGAGATTGTCCTACGGCGATGTCCAGAAGCAAGCGAAGCTCTCCGGCAGTGGAACTTGCTATTTAACTGTGTTTTTTGCCTGATGCAACCGGCATGCAAGAACATGGAAATCAGACACTTTCCTATGATAATAAAAAAAAATGAGTGTGATAAGGAATCCCCAGCGTCTGGCCAGTCAAAAACCTTGATCCTCCTCTCAGATTAAGAGTGCAGCCAATGAGGGCATCTGTAAGTGAGGTCATTACTGTTGTACTGAGGGAGGAGAATGAATGAGGGGGAAAAAAACTGAGCGAGAGGAAGCGGATAGTGTTTGGGAAAACAGAGGACGATTGTGTGAGTGCATATGAAGACTGAATACCCATATTGAGACCACTTAGACATCAAAAGAATCCGTGTGAAGTCTCTGAGGATGCATTATGACTCTAATAATGTCACTGAATATGTGAGACACAATGTCTTACATGCATTTTTTCGCAATGCAGCCTCTATATCTCTTAATGTCACTTTACCCTGGTGGTATATTAACTGTCCTGTCTCATTGCAAACCGGCTTTTGTCTCTTGCTCTCTTTTCCTCTCTCTGCCGGCCTCAAACCTGACCCCTGCCTCATCCCCCTTTCCATCATTCTCTCTGGCAGAGAGCCAGAGATCAGAGACTTCCTGCCAGAGTGGCACTTCTGACTCCATCCTCTCTCTACCACTTCCTCTCTCTTTGCCACCATTTCTTTCTTCAAGATTAATAGGACAGACTTCAAGTTGTAACATTGTGTGTTTTTAATAGAAAGAAAGGGTGTGCCTAGGAAGAGCATCCAAACCACCTTGGACTGCAGGATTCACAACTGCCGAGTGCTAAAACAAATGGAGTCTGAATCAAATGTTAAGATATAAAGACTGCAAAATAAATGCAATATAAATCTAAAACAACATGGCATTCTGGCTGGCTGCATACTGAACTTCCGATTCATGAACAAAGGTCTCTTATAAGCCAGTTCTTTTAATCAATCACTTAAAAAGAATCACAAGTGATCACAGTTTGATGAATCCTTACTTGAGCATTACTGAATCAACATCTGACTCACTATTCTCAGTCATTTCCAACATATTAATGGCTGCTGAAAATCTAGCTTTGCCATAACAGGAATAAATAACATTTTAAAATATATTAAAACAGAAAACACTTTTTTCAAATTGTAATAACATTTCACAATATTACTGTATTTGAGATTTTTTTAAAAAGCAGAAAAAATGTTGAGCATAAGGGGCATATTTCAAAAATGGGGCATCTTCCAGAGCCCCAACTTCTGAATGGTACTGAATACAAAATGTTTTATTGTTTTCATATATGTAGATAGGAACTACACTACACATGGTCCACAGGATAAACCTTTTAACAAAGGGATATGTGTGTTTTTTTTACTGTACAGTGTGCAGTGAGCACCAGTTTATCCATGCTGGCTTTTATTGTGCAAAAATAATGAACTGAAATCAGATTGGCAGTGTGTTCAGCGGAGGCAAAAGGCTCAACAGTCTCCCCCTGTCTCACGTCCTGCATGGGGTCCTCACTTTCCGTGGGGTGTAATATTAATGCTTACAGCCCCACGTTTACCCTCTAATGTGAATCTAATGCACTCATTGACCCTTCATGATGAACTAACAATTAAAGAACCCAAGTTGCTTTGCTTAAAGGAACAGTTTTCCTTTCCTTGGTAATTTGATTTTTTTTTTTACACTCACATCCATGGAATGCACAAAATATTTGTAAGGATTGGAAACTGAAATATACTGGTATTAAAATTCTGTCTTATATCATTAGACATGTTCATGTAATGCTGATAAATGGCAGATATTTGCATTCGTTTGATCGAAAATACAGTAAAAGAGTAATATTGTTTTGTGATGAAAAAGAACAGCATTTATTTGAAACAGAAATCTCTTGTATCATTACAAATGTCCTTATTGTCACTTTTGACATTTAAATAAGTCTTAATTCCTTTTTTAAAAATTCTGATCGTAAACTTTAACTGTTGTGTAAATTAAATAAATAAATAAATAAATAAATACACACACTAAAAACTAAAATCAATCATTTTAAAAGTGAATTTAATTACTTTATAACAGTATGAAAAATATGTAACAATAAGGGATGGCTAAATATCCAATACTGACCAATACATTCCTTAAAATATCTCTATTATTGGCAGATAATCATTATGGTACCAATATACTGTGGGAATACAACTAGGAATACAGCACATAAGTCATATAGACTACACTCGTTATTGTTTTGTTTTGTTTGTACTTTTTGTTCTGGAAAAGAGCAGCCTTGTCATTGTACTAAATATCTCCTAAATATCTGTGTTTTAAGAAAAACTGAAAAATTATATTGGTTTTAAACCATGTCCATTTTAGGTAAACAACCATTTAACTTTTGCCTTACGTTTTCAAAAGGTGACTGAACTGCATCAGTTTAAGCAAAGAAGCCCTATCTACAACAAAAGAACAATTTTAGAGCCAAGAATGAAACTTCAATGGATACATCAGCTGATCCTTTTAGTTAATTGAACTGCATATAAAGCACAACAGAGAGTGGAGTGAATTCTGATACTGATATTATAGAATTCACTGCAAGGGGTCAAACAGTCCAGCAGCAAGAAGATCCTGTGCAGTATGACACATTCAATAGGCATCACTTAGCAGCCGGTGAGTGAATATCAACAGAGACTCAGGGGTTCTGATCCGCTGTGAATGCAGATTTGACAATAGCTGTATTCTGTCTAGGTGAATCGAGAGGGAGAAGTGTTTGTGATCCTCTTCCCCACTGCATAGATGGTGTTTGACTCAGCAAGGCACCACAAAAATCCCACAGCAGACAGTTAGAAAGATTATAGGTTAGGAACTGCGGAGGGCAGCAATAGGCACAGGTCTGGCTCTGTGTTTCTGACAAGACCAGAGCACCTGCTGGTTCTCTTACAACCATGATATGAGAGTCAAAGAGAAAACAGACACCCTGTAAACTCACCGTAACAAATGGGATAATTCCACCAAAGCTAGGGATGCATTAATAGCAATTCTAAATTTATAAACTATAAATTAATTTGAAAATAAGATAATATTAATAATAATAACAATTTTATTTTATTTGTCAAATGAATGTGTGTGTGTGCGTGTATATATATATATATATATATATATATATATATA